ACATTGTCCATGAGTAAATAGGCCTCTCACCCTTAAAATATTCGTTTTGGACTGTATCAATGTTCGATATGTCAAAATATATTACAAATAAATCTAAATCCTTATGTAATTGGAAAAAGGCGGAAATGCATCAAAGACGTCCAACAATTACAAAATATCTTATTTTCTTAATAAAAAACCTTCTTTTCGTTTTTTAATATTACCTAGCTTATTGTTAGAGATGGACCCAACAAACCCTATATGGATATGATCGACAAGGAATGTTCTATCCAAATATGTAAAAATATACAGGATGTTCCATTTAAATTAACAAAGTTAACATCCGCGACCATTTTGTTTGAACTTCATTTGTTTTTCTACCATCATTTTCGAAAACTTCATAAAAAATCGTGTAACTTTTGTATTTCACATTTTATTATAACTCTTAAAACAAAAAAGTTAAAGGGGGATCAAAATATAGTGAATCACCCTGTACCTACTTTACTAAACGTTTACTATATAAATTTTTCACTTTTATTCAGTTTTTCATTATTATCTTAACAGTTTGTTTTTGGCACTTAGACCTTTTTTAATATCCACTCTTCAATTGTAAAACGGTCTTCTTTGATCACTTGATGTACATGTTATTTCAAGATTTATGTCATGACGGATGGAAGTCCTGATCGCTCTTCATCACGATTTTATTCCTTTCAATATCCGATAATATTTACCGAACTCTTCCAAACATCATATCCAAAACCTGCTATGAATTGTTGATAAGTTAATATGAGGACTATTTTTTTCCTGAAAACTCATTTAAGGGATGACATAACGTGATTAGGTTTAATAACTCATATATTTTTGACGTGAACATCTTTTATTGGGATTTAGATTATAATTCAATATTAAAAAAAAAATTTTGGTATTTAAATAATATGCATATAAGGTGTCCTCGAAATGATATAAAGTCTATTGTATTTGGGTAGAACGTCAGAAATTTGTATATTTTCTCTTATTTGAACTCACTCTGTGCTGTTGAAATTAAAAATTGAAAATAGATTTTTCGTTTTTGCTTCTCGTTAAATTATCACAATTTCTGGGTATAAACTATTATTTCCAAATATTTCTACTAATATTCAACTTACTTTGGTGATCCTCGGCATTCTTGTCCACAAAAAATGTACAGAACCGCTGAGGGTGCTTTGCTCTCGGGCTCCCAAATTAGCTGCCGATACATTAAATACAATAGTACAAACAGCTTCAAATAACTTAAATTAACCAAATTTAATGAGTAAACAAAAAGGTAACGGCAAAAAATTGATTTTCAGCTCTCAACTTCAAGAGCTAATAACTCTACAAGCGAAACTGAGAGCTTGCTTATTAATAATATGGAAAATGCACTTTCGAAGATGTCCATTATTATGCAACAAGGAATGGAATGTTTATAAATAGAAAATAAACTGAATTTATTTTGTGGAACCATTTCTGCTAGATATTTTATAATTCAAAATATGTTTGACTTTGAAATTACTAATTCATTGCTTATATCAATAATTCAATAATCGTTAAATGAAGCAAATGTTCCGTGCCGTATATTGGTATATCAGAAAAATGTCAGGTATGAAATATCGATATATCCGATCTCACCAAACGTGGCGTTTTATTTTTGTCAAATTACATCAATAGACCATAACATGATGTAATTTACTTTGGAAGCGACTTTTCGAAAAATCGCTGCAGGGATTTATTCAGTGTTTTATTAAAAATTCCCCTACACAGCCATAATCATCATTTAAATTAATTTATAGGACTTGAAATTTTAAATTTATGCATAATAAAAAATAACATAATATTGTAATTTGAGTACCTAAAGGGGGAACACAAAGTTGTTTACAAACACATACCGACGCGCAGTTTGGACCTTCAGGCAGGAAATACGTTTAACTTAGACGTAATTAAGAATTGATCACTGGCGGTTGATAAATTTTCATAGTAAAAAAAAATATTTTTAAATTTAAGTTTACATTGTTTTATACAGTAACGTCGACTAAATCGATGTTGCGTATTCAAAAAAATTACAGGCCTCGTAAACGAGGCCCCAAATAAAAATCTTACAAGAGTAAAAAAAAATAGAATAAAACGCTGCTTTATCTAAAAAAAAAACATTTGGAAAGCATAGGTGTTCTCAAAAAAAAAAATAGGAGGCCTATGGGTACTGCACCCCTTCCCCTCCGCTCGCGCTTTGATATTTTAAACCAAAATTACACAAAAAATTTACCGACTTAAGATCAAAATATGTGCTAAATTTCAAATAAATATCTACAATCACCGGAGTTATCAATAAAAATAATTTCTTAAATTTTAATTTTGACCCTGTATTTTGAAAATGCGGCTCCGAAGTGAAGAGGGGCCTAAGAAAAGTTCCATTATTTTAGTCCAAAGAATATGTGGTTAGCTACTTGACCTACTAATTTGTAACACCCTGTATATTTTAAAGGTTTTATTTAATATTACATAAATGTTACATGAATTTAAGGTACTCTAATATTCCATGGCAACAGGTTGCTATGGGAAGTTCGAGGAATTTTACCATATTTTTTATTGCACTTTATATTAATTTTTTTTAATACTTTGTACCTCGCCCTCCGTGGTATGGAAGGCAAGAGCCGCCACTGAAATTGATTTTAGTTAATATTACGTGTAGTGTAATATACATAGTTTAGCAAGCTAGTTAAAAAAATATTCAATGATATCAATATGTATAAGATTGATGTATAGTGTTATTATTTCAATACAATTAGCGTGGACTCGTTTTAACAAAAAATTGTGTTTATTTTAAGTGAAAATTAACATTTTTTTACGGTTGTGAAGTTCCTGTTTCAATATCAAAATCTACATGTCATGGTAATGTTTGAAGATGTAAAATTAGTTAATTGTATGTATCTTACACTGAAATAAATCCACCAAGTGATGGGCTTTGCTAAGATAGCTTTAGCTACAGTACGAAAATTTTTGCTGTCACAGAAAAAAATTCATGCTGTCAAGTAAGTACGTTTTACTGAAACGTGTTTGCTACCACAACAAAAAAAATTTTGTGGCTATATGATAGTTCATTTGGAATTTTATTTTAGTCGACTATCTATCTGTCCCAAGTGAGTTGCTTTGCTCGGGTAAGTAATTGTACTTTTTTAGAATTGATCCAATTGAGGTTAGTCAGTCCTTATTTGTAGCAAATTAGAGCTCATTTACTGTAACTGAGCCCTCACTAAATAATTTCCAGAATAATCCGGAATTCGGCACAGTGAGCATGCGCGATTACGCGTGCCTTATTCTGACCATGGTTTCGCCTATAGAGAAGTTACAAGTTTCGCCATTTTGCTGTAAACACGTAACACGGGATTCGTTAGTCGTTGGCTCCTTTATAAAATAGATGTCTTATGATAGAGAGTTGAGTCAGTTTTCAGTTGTTTAACAACCGCCTGAAAGTTTTTAATTTGGGTATTTGCCTAGGTATGCAATAGTTCTTACGAGTATATGTATGCGTAATTGCGTATGTAGCACACAATGCAGGCTGAATACAAACTCTTACTTCTCGAATGGGGATTTCAAGATTATTTATGCTTGTTTGAAGGTTATGCACAACATTTTTAGTTGCACGAAGAGCGAAGAGAGCCAACAATACGGAAATATAGTAAATACAGAGTTGTCTCACTTGGAGTTAATGAGTTGACCCTATTAGGGTTGACTTGCTTGGGATTAATGAGGGCTTCCTTGGGGTTAATGAGTTGGCTCGTTTGGGGTTAATGAGTTGAGTCGCTTGGGGTTAATGAGTTGACTTGCTTGACATAGCAAAGAGATTATAGCAAAACTGTCTACTAAGTGCAAGTGAGTTCCTACCAGCAAAGCAGTTTTTCTTGTGGTAAGAAGGCAACTCACTTGACGCCTATTTAATGCAGTTATTTTGCTACGGTTAATGAATTTTCACTAACTGTAGCAAAGAAATTATCTCAGTGTACTTATAGGTTAAAATTAACCATACCGTTAAAATTTTAATTTTAACAAAAACATAGACTATATTTATATTTTTGTATGAGTAAGACACGTCGATTTATGATAACATAACCTCTATTGCTGGATTTACTAATCCAGGATTAGTACAAATTTGTTTATCTTTTAAAAAACAATTTATAAGATTCTTATGATTTAACCGAGTTATAGGGGATGAAAAAATGAAACATGCCCCACGCACGACAAAAAAACAGATCCAATTAATTATTGACTTTTTGGAAGTCAACAATATTTTGCTAAACAAATTGCAGCCAGATGAAATTGTGATTGCAAATAAAGCTTGGAATTATTTAATTTGAAGGGCCATTACAACGTTTATAAATAATAGAGATCAGTTATACCATTTGTCAAGCCAGATTAAATTTTAACAGCATCTATTTTGGTCCCTCTAAATTTTAACATATTTGCTTAAAATAAACCCATTAAATTTTGTAGGATACAGCGTCGGGTTAAACAATGGGAGGTTAAAATTTTAACTGTGTCCTTAACGTTAAAATTTAACCAAATGCGTTACAGAATAGACCCGTATAACTGCTAAATAAAGTCTGCCTATTGGCCAATCGCTAGTGTTAAGAATTGGGCATTTTTTAATCCTCGGGCATTTCCAAAGATTACACGGAAACGAAACTTCACAAGTATGTATAGCAAATTTATTTTGTATTTTAAATAGATGCAATTTGAAGTACTGAAGTATGAAGTGATGCTGAGTAAAACTACATAGCCAATTTTTTTTATGAAAAAAAAAATTCATAAGTGATTATCCAAAAAAATCAGACCTTCGATTACGAACTGGACTATCGTAATGGGTTAAGTAAGTACATTCACAATGTTACTATTAATACATAAAAAAATTGAACTGAATCCTGCGTCCTAAAAGAAATGTATATTAGTATTTTGAATCTTAATGAAACATATTACGAATAAAATATAATAAAACTAATGAAACTCAGACAAAAAAAAACATCAAATTTATTCTAAATAAGTATACAAACGTACATATAATGCAAAATTGTATTTGAATAAAAAATAATATTAAAATATTTACAGTTTTTTAACTTATTCATTTAAAACAAGAATTTAGCATTTTATTCACAACCATAGCTCATTCGTTCTACATCTGTTATTCGAAATAAATGCTAAATAATTGCCTTCTTTTGCATGAACTGCTTTATTTAGTGTCTAACTCCTCAAGTGAAACCATGCTCATCTCTGTGGTTCACCGTGAACCCAGTCGATCCCAATGCTTTAGGATTTTCTAACGAATCCGTCTTATCGTCTTTGCCCGTGATGTTGTACCCTATATCATGATATCGCACAGGATACGTTAACTGGTTACCTTTGTCCCATGAATAAAGTTCCTAAAAGTGACAACGGTATTACTTAATTACTTCATCTTAAAAATGACATATTATTAACAATTACAAAATAATTTTCTACATCTACATTATTTGTACCAAACGATTTCAGTTTTCTAGAATCACCCTTTAGCAGTCAATAAGGACGAGGTATTTTATTGATAAACCAGAAGAAACTTTGACAGGGTGAATAAACCTTATCAATTAGGTAAGGAAAATTTATAGTATGAAAAAGTTTGAATTTATTTCTGTAAAAGGCACGATAAATGTCAATGTAGGATGGTGATATGTGTGGCCTCCACTCAAAGTCAGTTGAAACAGCACACATGATATTTCAGGCATGGCCCCCCTGTCCCTGTCCTTTGTTTGTCAGAAAATTAACAAAATGCCAAATGGTAAATATGAAAGAAGTAAATGTGGATATAAAAAATTAAATTCCTATATCGAAAATATTGGCGGTTTCAAAACATTTCAAAGTTTACTGTAGGTCTTGTGTAATAAAAATATCTTAGCTGCAGCAATCAAAGAGCATAAAATAAATTGAAAAAACTGAATGTTTATATCCTTCTTCATTCAAGATATGTCTAAAATTAACGAAAAGTATGTCGTTTGTTATATGAAAATTTTTCAGAAGTAATTTAAAAAAAATTAATAGGGTAAACCGTACAATTGTTGGACAGTGATAGTTATTGGACATGAACACTTCGAAGGTGCCTATTTAGTGTTTCACTTAGTTTTATTTTAAATAAACATTGACTGTAGCACCATCTATTATTATTCTTTGAAAATAATTGTAGTCGCGGTGAACATTTCTCGAGATGTCTCTGTAAATTACAGAAATCTGCAGTGATGATCTGTCATGGCAGATTTCTTAAGAATTCGTTAAGACACAAATTTTACATTGTGCAATATTTTTCGAAGCTGTAGCGATTTAATAGAAATTTGAGTTATTAAATGTTTAAAGGCAGGTTTATTTTACTGAAACGTGTATTTTTTATAAGGAACAGTCAATTATTTATAATAATTAGTTTATGTCCAATAACTATATCAATGGTGTTCTGAATTTTAGTTATTGGACAAGTGTACAATAACTGTAATTTTGGCTTGGTGTGATTTATTTATCCTACTTTAACACATACCTATGTTACTCTAATAAAGCTCTATTTTTATCTCATTCATTTGACCTATTTATACAGTTATTGGACAGGGGTGTCCAACAATTATCTTCTCCTGTCCAATTACTGTATAACCTAGAGGGGTATTTTCCATCATGCCTCAGAAAAGGAACTACAATCTTGATTTAGTGGAAAAGGCTGTAGGTGAAGTTAAATCAAGTTAAGGATCTTACAGATGTGTATCAGAAAAATACGGAATACCAAAATCAACAATAGAATTCAGTTTAAAAAATCCTGGTCATTGAGACTCATTTGGACCTCCTACAGTTTTATCAGAAAAGGAGGAGGAAATTCTGTCCGGATAATAACCACCATATTCACATTCCAGAAGAACATGACGACTTATATCTATGTCACATGCTACAAAACAGAAAATGATGAAATTTTAGAGAATGAAGATAGCGACGTTGAAAATGAACAAGGTTAATCTGACGAAGAAAAAATTGAAAATGAGGTAGAAGAGAAAGAAGAAATAGATAGGCTTTATGAGTTGTTTAAACAAATACGCAAGGAACATTTTTATTAAGTGATCAGACATCTATTAAAGTGTTTTTTTATAGAATTTCAGTTATCTAATGTGTCCAATAACTAATATTAAACCGTTCAGTAACTAACAAATACGTCCAATAACTATGCAGTTTACCCTACTTGAATAAAGTATCCGAAAATTCAATAATTAGCAAATTAAGGAAGTACATTACTATTACTTTTTCCGATTATTCCATAAATTAATTTTCTTAAAAAAAAAACATTGAAAATAATTTAAAGGAATTTTGGAAAATATTTTTTTTTATTACTTCCGATTAAGTGGAGGGAATGTACTGAAAATTGGTACATAATATCCTCTACTGGTTGCCAACCAGTTCTATGGTTGGTTCTATGCTTAAATCAAATTAATAAATTAATACGGCTCTATAAAATTACTATTTTAACATTTTGCAATACCTATTAAAAGTTCCTCTTAATTTTTGTGTCATATCCTCCGCCAATGATTGGCAACCTGTAGAGGATATTATGTACCAATTGTCCGTACTTAATTGTAAGTAGTAAAAATAAATAAATATTTTCCAACATTTCTTTAACACTGTATCTCGAAAACAAACGACGTTCTCTATCATGTGATGCTATGCATTGCTCTTTTTTCCATGTCACCCTGTATATTACAGTACTGTCAGTTAGTTCAGGGTGTTTCAAAATTACTCAACTTAAGCTGCCTATAAAATAAAAGTTGACGTTGTTTCATTTTTACTCAAACTTCTAACTTTCATTAGTTTAATAATTTGAAAAAGATATCAGTCAAACAACATCATCTAGCGTAAACAAAACAAAATTGTGTTCTTTTTAAGGTGATTAGTTCCTCATTTCGTGGATTTAGTATGGTCATCGAGAGTCCTTGACATAACTATCCATATTTTTTTTAATCTTTTCACTTGAAAAAACAACGTATATGCATGGTTGAACAATGTTCCGAGTTGGTTGCTACGTCATTAGTTTTGACTTCTTGACATTTCGAGAAACATATTGGTCTCCAGAAGAAAATCTGGAAGTGGTAATTGAATCCTCTGACCGATATTTATAATTGGTATGTGTAGTAATCCGTAGTGTCCCGGTGCAAGATTTGAAATCACTGCCAGGACCATAACTTTGAATGATGGAATTATTTGGTCGATATCATTTTCAGAAAAATATTGTCAAGTCTGTGTAAAAATAAAAAATAATAATACTTATTATTTTTTTTATTTATATTACTTAGTTTGAACTTAATTTAAATTGGGTAATTACTTTTGCCCCACCTTGTCCAAATGTAGAAATTATATTTACCTACGGTATATTTTTAACTTATAGACGGTCAGCGAATCAGCACTAAATTGAAAAACCTCAGGAAAGAGAAAAAATATATATTTGTTTTAAAATGTATCGCTTCTAGTTGACGTCCTGACATGACCTTTACCACATAACAGAAAACACTGTATATCAATAATTTATGACTCCTACTGTAAAACGGGAGGAAACAAATTTCTATACAAACTATATTAAACTGTTGAAAAGGTAAAAATGAAAGTGATGTAAAAACATACAATCTACCATTAGATATAATGAGCATTTAATTGTTGCCATTGCCCACAGTTTGAGGAGATGTTAGACCTTTCGCGACCAAGAGACAACCCGGTCGATACCGCCAATTGGCGAAATAATTGTTTTAATGGGGTATTAAAAGTAATAAATCTAATAAATAACAATGACAAAAAAGTAAAAAGTATAATAATAAAAATGAAAATAAAGACAATTTTTTTATTTATCAGATAAGAGGGCGTCAAGATTTGTAAGTATCAATCTTACTTTGACTTATCCGACAGCTCAGCTTATAAAACTAATGTAACACATTTCAATGGCATATTCCTTAAAAAATATAACATTAAAAAATATAAAAAGCCACTGTTTTACGAAAAAATAAAAGTGTTAAGAACATTTACGCGTTTTATATATCTTATAGGAACAGAAATATAACATAAGAAATCCAAATTCATAATGTTCTATATGGGCTGTTTGTTTTTCGAGACACACCCTTGGGAGATCATCTCGTTATCTTAAGAGGTACAAGGTCGGTCAAAATAGGAGAAAGTTACTGAATTTGATGACGAATAGAGAAATTTGAGCTAGCTTTTCTCGTTTTAAAGTTACCGACGAAAAATTTTAAATTTCGATTTTCGTTTTTATTTTTTTAATCGAAAATCTTTTGAAAAACGAAATCCCAATAGTGGTGTTAACTGTATTTAATTAAAGTAATAACAAGCATATTGTAAATTTATATTCAAATTATAAAGCGGACTTACCGTATTTTTAGGATTGTACCCCAACATGGTGGTCTTCCTAAAAGGATTAGAAAAGGCCAAATTGACATCTAGTAAAGTATTTTTGTAGAGATCCATCGCGAATCTTATTTTGCTGTTTCTATCAGTAACGCTGTCCACGGCGTAAAGAACCCCACATACAATAAACATTTCTCCGACTTTATGGTGATTTAGACTAATATTCCATATATATTCTGGCTTCATTGTATTAACATCGACCTAAAAATATAGCATAATAGCATAAAACATATTAATTTGCTAGCAACCACTAAGTCTACAATCATTATAACTACTGGAAGAATATAAAGCGTAATTAAATAATCATAAGCATTTCATATATTCATAATTATAACAATATTTTTTTAATTGTCTATAGAATTGACGTTCTATCTTCGATGACGTAAGTAATTATTTGTAAATATTTATTTATATTTAGTTGGAGTTAGATTTATTTTACAATGTGTCTACTTCGAGTTAACAAAAAGAAATTTCTGAAAAGTGGTATGGAAAATTTACTATGGGTGTTAAATACGAATAGAGAGTATTTCAAATTAGATGCGATAGGTATTACTATTTCTTAATTGTTACAGATTTAAATTTGGGCAAAATTATAAATGTTGGAGAACAATAATTTACAGAAAAGAAATCAAAATATCTTTCATGAGGTCTTTAGTCTCATCGATACTATTTGTTAGTTTAGGAAACCTTTGCCAAGTGTTAAAACACATTAATTCATAAAAACTATTATCGGACCTTCAGTAAAGCCTTTTTTTAAAGTGACTAAAGCCTTTCGACGACCATTATTAATATTTATTATTTTATTTTGTTTCTTGTTTTTTCAATGTAAATATTATTATTCAGTTCGATTTCTTATTTCCTCTCGAATCCGTTGATACATGTTTAGTGTTTATTAACCAGAAAAAAATCAAGTTTCATTTTAAATTCGATGAAAAGAGTGGAAATAATCTTAAAAACGAAAAAAGATAAAATCTTAATCCGGAAATTTAACATTAAAAAAAATGTATTTCATGAAAGTTTTTCTAGATTGCTGTTCTCTTTGGACAATAATCGTATTTAACAGAGTATACAACTTACATTAATTTAATCAACTGTTAATCTCTTACGATCCCGAAGATGCAATAGACATTATTAGATATATATATATAGTCTATTTTACCTACTATAAAAAAATTGATTGCAAAAAGTAGTTATCCCAGATTGTCAATGAAGATTTTGCAAATGAAAAAAAGACTACGTGTCAGCTAGCAGTTCAGGGTTATTAAAATTGAAGCGTTACACGAAAGAACAACGCGTTTTCATGGTTGAGCAACATTTTAAAAATAATGAAGGTTTAGCAGCTACAGTTCGCAAATTTCGTACAAAACATAGTCGGAATTTTTATTTAACTTCATCAACTGTGAAGAGATTAATTGGAAAATTCAGGGAGACTGAATCAATTAGTGATCTTAAACACTGGACGTCCTTCAACAAGTCGTTCAAGTGTTGTTGAAAGTCCAAGAACATTAATTCGGTACCGTGGTCAAGAACTGGACATTTCAAGAAGCTCTCTACAGCGTATTCTAATGAAAAATTAGCATCTTCATGCTTTTAAAGTTCAATTGACTCAAGAACTGAAGCCTATTGACCGCGTAGATCGAAGAATGTGCGTTGAATGGATTATGGGACAAGTGGATACCAATTTTTCGAACAAAATCATCTTCAGCGATGAGGCTTATTTTCATCTTGATGGCTTCGTTGTTCGACAAAATTGTCTCATTTTGTGTTCAGAAAATCCACGAGTGATTGTTGAGAAACAAATGTATCTACGACGTGTCATTGTTTGGTGCGGATTTTGGGCTGGATCGAAAATGCAGCTGATCAGCCAATAAAATTAATGGTACTCGCTATCGCGACATGTACAAAACATGTTTCAACAAAACAGTGACATGCCAAGGAACAATTCACTGCATTAGTTATTTCCTGGTTCTGTAATTTTCCATTTTGGTGATCAGAATTGACCGCCTAGATCATGTGTTTTAACACAGTTGGATTTTTCCTTTGGGGCCAATAAGCCCACAACCACCTTGAAATAGGAAATTGACCGTTGTATCAACGAAATTCAATCGAATTTATGAAAGACGGTCATGGAAAATTTCGACAAAAGAGTGCCATATCCGTGGAGACTATTTACAGTAATGTCTTAATATGGCACGTCTTTAGCACGTACATTATTTTAAATAAGCAAGCAATACAAAGCAATATTTTATTAATTTTAGTTGTAGATAAATTGCAGAAGTATCTACAAATCTTTTGTTACAATTATTCCAGTTTTGAATTGTTGCTAAAAACACACTGTGCTATTTTACCGCTCGTAACGCTTTGCTGTCAACAAAATATTGATACTATCTTGCTCTTATTGATCTTGCTGGTGCTGCCACTTCTGTTGTTGTAGTTGTTGTTGTCAGACAGTATTGTATATTTTCTGAAATAATATACCAAGAGTCCCATTTTAATCGATACACGTGAATATCTCGTCAATGAAGCCTTCGTTCCAAAAATTACCTAAATGAAAGTTGTTCAGTTCATTAGGGGAAACCGGTTGCTTCCTTAACCGTCAATTGAAGGTCAACTTCATAATTTTAAAAGGAAGCATCTATTTTTTACCCTGGGAATGAATTCGGCATACAATTTTACATTCGAATATAATCTCAACTTTGACCTTGCGCTTAAAGTCACAGCGAGTTCAAATGATTCGACATCCCTGAAACTATCTTCCTCGGAATAAGATAAATGTCCATAAGATTTTCATCAAGGTTCTTAATCATGGCCTTAGATTTATTGACCTTGGCCTTCAAGGTCATTTGATGGAAGACTACAGAAATCGACCTTGATGACCTACAGAAATGTTTTTAAGGATGTTAGGGACCATGTACCGGTGATCTTGAAGGTCATTTGAAGGTTGACTTTCTTTCTTTTTATATCGGTACTCGTATTTCTGATGCTGGAAAAGCGATCAATTCGACACCCGAGTATGTTGCAAAAAGAGTCGTGATTGAGTAACTTGATAAACATTCTATCGACTTTGGGGGCAAATATCTTATTCCGAGGTTGCTTCAGAGATGAATCATTTGAACTCGTTGTGACTCTGACAGCAAGATCAAAGTTGAGATCACATCTAGAAGTAAAATTTTCTGGCGGATCCATTTCCAGGGTAAAAAAATAGGGGATTCCATTTAAAATTATTAAATTGCTCTTCAATTGATCTTCAAGGTCATTGTTAAGGTCAAATTCAAGATCAGCAGCCGCTTTCCCCAAATGAACTGAACAGACCAGATATTCAAGTGCATCGATTAAAATCGGACACATGGTATATCAAACGCGTGCTATCAAACGTTATAGTATCAATTTATCCCTGAGATTTCTTATTAGTTTAATAGGATTGTGAATGTATCACAGGAGATTCATACGAATTTTTGGCTAAATATACACAAGATGTTTATTAAGTACTTGTACAAACTTTAACGGCTTGGTATTTGAAAAAAAAATTTTATTTGGTATTTTGATTATATTTTTGTTCAATAACATGGCAATTTGTCGAAATTCGTAAAACTGAGAGTATTCATGATGAGGAACTCAAATATTTACTTAGTTTTTGTTTAATGTTAGAGGGCGACACATACAGTGTTGTATCTGGATTTAAACAACCATAACTTTTTTGTGTCGCACTGTATGTCATTTTTAACATACCTATTCTCCATTCAATTCTACGTACAAAAGGTATTCTTAGTATTTGTCGCTGAAAGCAGCCGTTTTGTAAAAAAAAAAATGGTTTAAAGTTAAACCTGCGTTTGAATTTTGTAAGTTGAATCATTAAGATTTTTTGAAAAACAAGTGAAAAATGCATCTTTTATTGACTGTATTGCGATGTGACAAACTTAGATCCTTTACAAGACGAAGACTAAACTCTTTCTACAAATAAGTTAATAACATTTACAATAAATCAATCTCAAGAACCAAGTCGTTGCAGATCCATGTTCATAATGAACTTTTTATCTTAAAATTAGTCAAAGATTCACCCTTTAAAGTTTGTACCCTATCCCGTTCATGATTCAAAAAATCTTGTGTACAAGTTCCTTAATGCAAAAAAATTGGAATAGTCCATGTGACGTTTTTTTCTTACACGCTCTGTTTTCGAAATACAGTGTGTTGAAGTTGTTTCTTTCCAATGGTTTTCTTTTATTATCTTTAAATCAACTAAAGATAAAAATGTCAAAATTTATACACGAATCATCAACTGTGTGTTAAGAATAATGTACAAACGGTTTCTTTCTGAAAAGCAGTGTCATCGATACAGGTAATTGGAGCGGTACAATCGAAAAAAAATATGTTAAAAGTCAAAATTTGTTACATTTCTAAACGGTTTTGTAAACTCTAAAGCATACTTCAAAAAGAGGTATACTTGTCGAAATTCGGTACATTGTACCATTTTCGAGAAAAATGAAGTTGCATAGAAGCAAATGGGGGATAATTTCAGTATCTACTGTAGTATTTCAGTTTTGCTCATTTATTTAATTGTGCAGCTATTTTGTTCTGTTTGTCTCCGAGTCTGTTTCCTAATATTTTTCTATTCTTATCACTTTTTTTAAGCATTCATGTCCATCAACAATTCAGTCCATTTAACAATTGTTTTTTCTAGTAGTGGCAGTGTAGTAATTTACAAAATCTAAAATTAAATACCATAATTAGTTAATTTTGATTTACTTTTTTAAATGTTATTTCACAACAAGCTTAAACCTAAATTTAAATTTTTTTATTTCTTTAACTTAATAAAATGTTTTACAATTTAATTGTTTTGTGTGATACGTAAAAAATTAAAATTGTAATCTTAAATGCAAATACTAGTGGTAGCTATACGTATTCAGCTCATTCAATAGTAACGTCTGATATCTAAATATAAAATTTCATTCAAACTATATATATTTTTTAAATTGCTAAATCTTGAATTTCTTCTTCCCTATTTTCAAACTGCTTTTGTTTGTTCTAAAAACTGGTGATAATTTCGTGTTCCTTTTTGTCGGGCGTTTTGCTTCTGGTGAGGTTCCTCTTGGCTTTCCTCTTCGGCCACATGGAATGTACACGTCGGATGTATTATATGAGGTAGGTCGAACGGAACACGTCGGGCAGGCTGAATGGATCCCGTCGGGCAGGCTGGAAGTATC